AAATTTGGCAGAGTATAAAAGCAAAATCACGCCGTGGAGGCGCGTTTAATACGCGTTCACAGATTGAGCTGTCAGAATGTGGATAGAGTTCATAAGAGTTGGAATAGTCCTGTGCCTGCTCAGCTGGAGCATGCCGGCTGAGGGCAAACGAATGCCGGAACTTAGCTCCGAGAGGCTGGAGCGATTCTCCCGGCCGGATTCAGGCTCGCGTGTGATAGGCGGCACAGATGCGGAGCTGGGCCTGGCTCCCTACCAGATCTCGCTGCAGAGCATGTTCGGGGATCACATGTGCGGAGGTGTCATCATCGATGAATACCATGTGCTCACTGCCGCCCATTGTGTCTATGGCTATAATCCGACGTATCTGCGCGTTGTGACTGGCACCGTGCACTGGATGAAGCCCGATGCCAGCTACTTTTTGGAGGAGTATTGGGTGCACTGCAACTACAATTCGCCCGCCTATCACAACGACATTGCGATGATGCGGCTCAACGATTCAATCAAGTGGAACGACTACACAAAGCCCGCCTTGCTGCCAGAGGCGCCACTGGCCAATGGCTCCAAGCTGCTGCTTACAGGCTGGGGCTCCACGGAAAAGTACCGCGATGCGGGCGATAGGCTGCAACAGGCAACACTCACGTATGTGGACTACGCCACCTGCCAGCAGATAATGGGCGGCGATGGTGACAATGGGCCCGGACACATATGCACGCTAACGGACGAGGGCATGGGCGGTTGCCATGGCGACTCGGGTGGCCCAGTTGCCTGGGACGGCATAGTCTATGGTCTGGTCAACTGGGGCCATCCCTGCGCCATCGGCTATCCGGATAGCTACGCGTCGACGTATTACTATCGCGATTGGATATCTCGCACAAAAGCGGCATCCTCCTGCAAGGATTGCCACTGCTATGCGAGCAACTATGGCGTCTGATTGAAATAAAACAAAAGCGAATCGATTTCCATTCAAACCAAACAAATTAAATCTTTATTTCAAGTCGAGCTTATGTGGTGCATTTGGCATTGCCGCTGATCACATTGCGTATCCAGTCGAAGTAGTAGTAGACATTGGCCTGCACATCCGGAAAGCCCTTGGCGCAGGGTCTGCCCCAGTTGACCACGCCCACCAGATAGCCATTGCAGACGAGCGGCCCGCCCGAGTCACCGTGGCAGCCACCCTCGCCCTCCTTGGAGAAGGTGCAGATGTGGCCCACGCCCATGTTGCTCGTCTGATTGAATATGTTCAGGCACTCCTCGAACTTGACAAAGCTCATGGAGACCTTTTGCAGATTCGGATTGGCCTCGCCATTAGGCACCTTCGCACCCCAGCCGGTGAGGACAACCTCGTCGCCTTCGCGCAGCGGCCCCACGGGCAGCGGAATGGGCTGGGTCAGCTCGTTGAAGGTTATATTCTCGCTAACCTTCACCAGAGCGATATCGTTATGCATGTAGGGTTTGTCGTACATGCAGTGCACGTGCACCTCCTCCGCGTAGTAGACGCCGCCGGGCTCCTCATAGCGATTGGTGCCCGTGACCACAACTATAAACTCGGGCGGAAAGTTGACGACGCAGTGGCCCGCCGTAATGATCCACCGCTCGTTGAGTATGGCACCGCCGCAGTTGTGGTAGCCCAGCACCGGCTGCAGGGAGACCTGATACTTGGCATACCCGATCTCTGCCGTCTGGCCACCCACAATGCGCTCTTCCTTAGACAGTCCGCCTGCTGCATCCATATCCATCAGCCGCTTGGCCCTCGACATCTGCTGATGCTGCTGCAGCAGCAGAACTATCAAGCAAATGTGAAGCAATTTCATCTTTTCCGTAGGACAAACAAAGACAGACTGAAATGCAAAAATTCTATAAGAGTTTTATCGAAGGTCTATTCGTCAGCCATTTTATCAGGCCAACTTTATGAAGGCCTTCGACCGTTTACGATTGCAATCTAGCCATAGTTTGCTCGGGCGATAGCGAGAGTATGGAATATTCTTATACTTGTACTTGGGTTTTTAGTAATGAACAAGTCCAGTTCTTATGGGTCTCATTTCCGTTGTTTATCAACTGCTACAAAGCTGGATTTTTATTGGAAACATGATGCAGGATGATAAAAGGTTTGTATCAACTTATTCGATATACTAGGTTGAAGTGCTGACTTTGACTCTCGGGAAATCTCTTTAACTTCTTAAATTGTTGACGAGGATATAGAACATTATTTTATCCAAATTTACTGAAACTAATTTACATATCATATATATAGCATATCAACTCATATAGCGTATTGTTCATAATACTAATTTCTAGTATTAGAAAAAAGATGCTATAGAAATATATTTCCAATTTAATGTCAACTTTTCGTTGAATAAGAAATTGATATTCTATATTCGAGGTCTGTTCAAAAAGTATCAAAATTTCACGCAAATCAAAACTAGAATTTCCAGATGCTCTTCAAACGCACCTCGTGGATATATTATCGAATTCCTCTGCATTTATCAACTTTTTTATCATAATATTTTACAGACTATTGCTTGACCATTAATTGATATAGTTATAAATCAGTAATTGTCGATATCGAATGCACTTATGTTCAGATTGGCTCCAAAGTCGACCCACCTTATCACCATGGAACTAACTGGTGCCGATCGATCAGTCTGCTCTTGGCCGTCAATTATGACACAATACAAGCTCTGGCTATTGCCACTCTCATTTCTCGTCGTCTTGCTACTCCCACGCTCCGTTGATCCAATTGTGGGCGGCCAGAATGCGGCTGCCGGCGATGCGCCTTATCAGATCTCGCTGCAGACGCTGGCGGGCAGCCATCTCTGCGGCGGGGCCATAATCTCAGCCAGCTGGATACTCACGGCGGGGCACTGTGTGAGTGGCTGGCCGGCGGATCGCCTACGTGTGGCCATGGGCAGTACACGGTACTCGGAGCCGGGCGCCGTGCACTATCCCGCTGCCATCTACCTGCACTGCAGCTACGACCGGCCAAAATATCACAGCGACATTGCGCTGCTCCAGCTGAATGAGAGCATCGCCTTCGACGCTCTCACTCAGCCCGTGCAGCTGGTGAACGAGTCCTGGCCCGCGGGCAGCTTGGAGCTACTCTTCACGGGCTGGGGCACGCAGTCGGCGGGCGGTGCCACGCCCGCGCAGCTGCAACGCGTGCAACAACAGCACATACCGAGGCCAGAGTGTGAGGCGCGACTCGATGGCTACGAGGATGTCCAGCTGGGCGGGTGCCATGTGTGCGCCTTTCGGGAACGGAATATTGGCGCCTGTCATGGCGATACAGGTGGTCCGCTCGTCTATAAGGATCAGCTCGTTGGCATACTCAACTTCATGGTGCCCTGTGCACAGGGTGTGCCCGACGTGTTCATGGACTTACGCTACTACAGTGAATGGATAAGGCGCACGATATCGGGCAATGGCAGATGTGCGGGGGTGCAAGAGCAGACTATTAACTAAGAGCTCAGCTCGATGAGTCTATTCCATTGATATTAGTTTAGGTTATTGAAAATTCGTGTTCTATCCTATGCATGCATTTATGAGCTATGCTCGAAAGATTATTAAAATTAAAGAGAGTTATTGAGATATTATTGAGAGAGTCATTATTGCTGTGAACGAAGACGTTGCTGTTTCAGAATCCCTAACCGATAGTGAAATTTTTTCTGCGACAGATACGAATGAAAACGAAGATGAGGACGTCGACAAGGTATCAGATAAGGTACCAAGAGCCTCATTGGATAACATACAGAACTTTTGTCTAAAAAACGAAACTGATAAAACGGATATAAGGCAAACCCCAACATATGAGTTTTTTTCCAAGAATTATTAAATAGAGAAATATCATCAAATATCGAAGTAAACCAGTATAAACAAGTTATTTTCAAACAATTATTAATTTGAACATACATTACTAATATGTAAAATATTAGCAAATATCGAAGCAAACCCGTATGAGTGAATTCGTTCCAAAGAATTATTAATTTTAACATATATTACGAATATGTAAAATATCAGCAGTTATATAAAATCCCTTGACAATTCGATTATAATAACATATATCTTGATTATAATACCATATATAATATAGTATATATCCATCTATTTATAAGAATGAAACCAAAAACTGGAAAAAATATTTATATCAACAAAATTGTAGTAAACAAACTTAACAAAAAGTTGCTTAAGGTGAGGCACTGATTTGCAGTATTTACAAAAATACCAACAAAAATTCTTAGCACACAAAACAATACAATTTTTGGTATCTTTCAATTGATAAGATTACATTCGAATGTTTTAAAAATAAATTCATTATACTTCAAGCTTCTAGTGTTAATTCACAGACGCCAGCTAGAGCTTTGAATTTATTTAAAAGTAATGCCGTCAGCCATAGGTGATTCAGTGAAATTTTTCCCGCTTATCGAATGTCAATTTGAAATTTCTTTGAAAACACAAATAAAAGTTCCCATACAGTTATCAATGATATAAAAAATATGACAAATCTTGTTTGCCAAAAGTTTTGTTTGAGTTTTAGTCAGTTATCTTTATGCGAGTTTCTCGATTATTATTATTATTTATTTTGTTTTATTTTTATTGAAGGAGTAGCCGATAAGAAATGGGATGTAAGCGATGGTGTGGCTACGAAATACCCTGCGGTTATGAAATTTATACATATGTATATGTTTATAGACATATATCAAATGTAGCATTGTTCTATTAAAAAAGACTTTCGAAACAATAATATGGTATACACGATATTATGATACTTTCTTGTTTAAGACATAATTTCAACTATCATAAACATATACAAGTACATAAAACCCACAAAAAATATTGATAACTTACAGGGTATTTAAGAGTTAGCTGTCTGAAACGTTGAAACATAGGCGCTATAAGGCGCAACAAGTTCAGTCGATCAGCAATTGTCACGGTGAAAACATTAAATCGGCAAATAAAAAAAGCTGAAAAAGGTGATTAAGAATTCTAAAATTATATATAAAGTTAAAGTTACATATAACAGTTGAATAAAAAATATATAACAGTTAAATATGCAAGCGGAACATAATCTTGACGAGCACGCAAAATGGAAACAAATCCAGGAAAATACCTTCACTCGCTGGGCCAATGAGCACTTGAAGACCGTCGGCAGTTCGATTGACAGTCTGGAAACGGATCTGTCGGATGGACTGCGGCTGATTCAGCTGGTCGAGGTGCTGTCGCAAAAGGAATTGCCCTCGCATTGCCAGAATCCGAAATTCCGTAGCCAGAAAATGGACAACGTGTCGATCGCCCTCACCTTCCTCATGAATGAGGGCATCAAGATTGTTAATATTGGTGAGTGGAAGAGAGTTCAGCTGAGAACTCATAGCTAATCGCAGCCATTGTAGACTCTACGGACATAGTCGATGGCCGATTGAAGCTGATTCTTGGTCTGGTGTGGACACTCATTCTGCACTACTCCATCTCGATGCCCGTTTGGGAAGGGGATGAGGAGAAGCCGCCAGCAGAAGTCACGCTAACGCCCAAGCAACGGTGGGCCTTATCTTTCTTTCAAATATCAGACTTAATCTAATTTTTGCCTTTGTAGTCTGCTTGGTTGGATACAGTTCAAAATTCCCTTCATGTCCATCACCAACTTCACCAGAGACTGGACCACGGGCAAGCCAATAGGTGCTCTGGTCGATGCCTGTGCTCCCGGCTTGTGCCCCGACTGGGATCTGTGGCATCCCGAGAACTCCGTTCAGAACGCCACCGAGGCCATGGAGCTGGCTGATGTCTGGCTGGGTGTGCATCAGCTGATCAAACCCGAAGAGTTGGTCGATCCCAATGTGGATGAGCAGTCCGTCATGACATACCTGGCGCAATATCCCAACTGCAAGCTCAAGGATGGCGCACCACTGCGACCGAAAACGGATCCCAACAGGTGAGATGATTTCACTAATGTACATCTGAAATGAGCATCTGAAATGAGACAATGCTCACGATCTATCTGTCGATCCCTAAAAGTATGCGATATTTTACCCATAACTTTTGATGTGTTAAAGCCTACTTTTAAATGCTCAAATCGCTATTCTTCTTTTTATTCAGGAGTTCTACAATTTATAAATTCCAAATTTTCATTACAGCATTCCCATTACACCTGTGCCTGAGCCTGTCAACGTGCCCGCTGAGGCTTATCCAGGCACTGAATCTTATCCGGCTAAAGTATATCCGGAAGTTGAAAGTACACCCGCCGAAGTTGATCCCGGCTATGAGATCGTTCCTGCTGAGGTTCATCCGGGTGATGTGATCGTTCCTGCTGAAGTGCATCCGGGTGATGCGATATTTCCTACTGAGGTTCATGATGAGATATTGCCTGCTGAATCTTATCCTGGCCCTCGTCCCAATGGCCTCATGGATTTCGAGCCCGCCATCGTACTTATTGATGCCTATGAGAGAACAGATCGTAAGTTCTATCAAACATATATAAAGTCTTAAAGTAAACTTTTCTCTATGCTTTATTTAGCAATTCATAGGACCGCGATTGGGCAGCTGTACGATTTGTACGGCCATAGCTACTTGATCACGGGCAGAGCCTTGCCAGACGCTTATAGGTATAATCACCTCACATTTGGTATTCTAGAGCTCCCTGAGTATTATACGGTTCTCCATTAATAGATTTGTCATCAACTTTGTGTTGGAGAACAACGATGTGGCCCTGCACATCAATCCCCGATTCGATGAGAAATGTGTGGTACGCAACAACCAGGTACGCGGCTCTTGGGTTCGTGAGGAAAGGGAGTCCACATTGCCTTTTCTGTTTCGGCGCGGCGAGTACTTTGCCATTCAGGTGCTCGTCACACAGAGCTGTTACCTGATGTCCTTCAATGGCCATCACATGGAGCCCTTTGTTCATCGAATGCCATACGACAAAGTTCGTTATCTCGAAGTGCTAGGTTGTGCGGACGACATACGCATACATCGCTCTGAGGTTCGCAGCTACCCGAAACAATTTATAGATGTGATGGTAAGTATTAAATATATAGAAAATATGCAAATTATTTGGTTGGGAAAATTTATAAATTGTCTAAACATATATATCAAATAATAATTATTCGCTCTAATTGCATTCTCGATATAAACATATTACGTTTCGAGTAATGTTCGTCTGGCTTCTATTCATTCTCTGATCTTAATCCTCATCTAACATCAGATCTTTTACTACTCCCATATAGCCTCAACCTTACATACCGTTGGATGTACATCCCATAGACTACAATAACGATATAGAAGTGGAGCCACTCAACGAAGGAGATAGTTTCCTTTTCAGTGGGGAAATCGACCCGAAGTGTGAAGTGTAAGTTTAACATATCTCAAGTGTTTCTTTTATAATAATTCCTCTCTCCTAGATTTGAGATAGTGTTTATATATCCGAATGCAGCATACAGAGACTTTCCCTTCCATCTCAAGTCTATCTTCAAGAAGAATCAATTCTTAATGAATAGCAAAATAAATAACGAGTGGTGCCGTAACGCTGTCACCAATCGGAACCCATTCCGCAAAGGCGAACGTTTTACGATTCAGGTGCTCATCACAGTCGACTTTTACCTGATAGCCATAAATGGTCAACACTTTACCAAGTTTGCCCATCGGATTCCCTTCCAAGGCGGTAACTTACTTAGAGTCCAGGGTGGCATTCACGATGTCAAAATGCATCGCACTAGAGTGATGGACTACCCCCAATCCACATTGCAAAGGCAAATTTTGTAACATGACTGTGACTGTACTTGAACACAGTTGAGTTCTTTATATTATTTATATTAATATGACTAAGTTGTATATGAAAAATTAATGAGTAGCTTTAAAATATTTATACTAATATATGTATTAAAAAAAGAGCTTCTTATAATTATATTTTTGAGTTAAATACCATTATATCCTGATTACAACTCCCTTTCAAAATTATATCAATTGGAAGAAAAGGACTTTCTATTATTTATAGTATATAAGCTCTATATCTTACAGATATAAAAGAAATTTTTGAATTAGGTTATTTCTTAGTCTTGGCATTTGACTAGATTTTCCCAATGAATGAATCATGCTTTAAGTAATTTATTTCACAGAGATGAAAATAAGTTTCGACTCGCTTAGACAAATTGTAAAAGTTTACACACAAACAGTTTTCCCTCTATATTTTCCACTTGCCAGACAAGTCAATGAGACAAGCCAATGGCATAGCTCTCCCTCAGTATCGGATATCCATTAGATTTGATTTAACAGGAAATTAGCTGAGAGGAAAGAATACTGCGTCAGCGAGCAAATGTTGTTAGGAATTTGATTTACGAGTATGTCCATGTCAAATGGGATTGTCTGCTACGCTATGCGCGCCGCCAATACACGTGTCGCTGCTCTAATTAAGGACAGGTAGACTCTAACGCAAACGCAAACGCAAAGCACACACACATATAGTCTTAGTCATGTTCGAGAGACATGAGATGTTCGAGGCGGCGGCTGTCAAGAATTGCTCAAAAAGATATGGAAATACTGAAAAAATATATATAAATTTAATTTTCGAAATAATTTTTTGCCAGACGCTCTCAAATGCTCAGATTCAACGTAAATATACATATATGAATATATGGCATGGTAATGGCTGAGAATTTTCGAAAAACAGAATTTTCAGTTGCTGCATTGACTTCGAAGTGTGCGGAGCATTTGCGTGCCGTGTCTAACGTCTAACAGGGAATACGCGGCGTATACGCAATCGAAAGATTCAAGTGCCAAAACAAAAACGTGTGGCTATATATACATACGCGTATATGTATATATAGTGTATATATGTGAATATATACATATACGATATACTATATGAAGGCGCGTGTGTTCTACATATAGCGCCCAATAATTACTCAATTAGTGCATAACGCAACAAGATCGAGCGAAAAATGTCAAAGTATGTGCAGAGATTTTTGCCTTTTGAAGGCAACAGTTGAAATTCTAGAGAAATAATTCATTCATATACATATGTATACATATATGTATATATATATATGCGTACGTGTTCAATACTGTGTGCAAGCAATGGAATATCTATATATATATATTTTTGGTCTAGATTATTCAATTTCTGAGTATTTTCGATTTTGCGAAATCGTTGCCATTTCTTTTGGGTATTTTTGATATTATTGACAGGCGCCTCCCGAGTGCGCGCTGGAGTCCCTAGTCAAGTCGGATCTTGCGCCAGATGTTTGGGCCTAACAATGTAGTTGATTCTTAATTTAGATACAGTTGCACGCCTCGGCACACCTGAGTGAATATATTCAGTGGTAGATTTATAAAGACTCTCAAAAATGAACTCTCTAGAATTTTTTGAAATATTGCGAACAATTCTGATGTTTCGCAATTTTGTGTGTTTGGGCATGAAATGGGCTTTATTTTTGGCTATGGCCAAAGGCAAAACAACGAGCGACGAAGACGGAGTGAGAGAATGTATGAGAGAATTTACAACTGAGAGCGAATGAATGAGTGGGAGAAAGAGAGAGGCACTTTTAGCCAATTGTTTGCACGTGAATAATTGGAGGATGCCAGCGCGGCGTATGCGTAACATTAAATTATAAACAGCTGCTGACAAGCCATAAAATGTGAGCACAAAAAATGGGAAAGAAAAATAAACTATAGATAATATAAATTGTACATAAATTATTTCATTTTCGAAATTTTCTTGTTAAACCTAAAGACGAAGAATTTTGACGTAATTTAAATTCAAATTGTGATAATAGAATTTATTTTTTTTTTTTGAAAATAGGTGTTAATAAGAATTATAAGAGATATGACAGATACAGATACCGATACCGATACAGATACAGATACTTCTACGCCTCACTTCCTCTAGTATATCGAACTCTTTATTTAATTTTATCTGAAAATGAAATAGAAATTTTGCAATGGGAGAATAAGAAACAATAATTCATTTGGTATACCGGTCTATTTCATCTTTAATTAAATATAAATAACATAAATTTTTGCAGAGATTTTGCAAAAAGTTTTTTGAACCCCGCGCGAAATACAGAATGCGAATAAAATCAAAGAATTTATGTTATAAGCTGATCGGGTTAGTGAATTAGTCATACGACATGCCGCAAACAGCATACAGCAGCAGCAAGAGCAAACACATTTATTTGCTTTTATTTCATATTTTTTATGAAGTCTGGCCAACTAATATAATATATGTATATTAATGGTTTATATAAAAACATGTATTTTGGTAGATGTTTTTCAAGCGCAAATTATTAGTCACGAGCGGAGGGGCGAATTCGTGTCTAGCGAGGGGCTCTAAGGGCAAATGACAATACGCTTGCAATTGGCAACAAATTAAGCATGCCTAACAACAACAGAAATAACAACAAGAACAACACAAGAACATCAACAATTGCCTCTATTTATAAAAGAACAACAATATCAGCTGCGCGCAAAAATCATCCAAAGTTGTTTGTGGGCAATAGCGTCAAAAGCTGCTGCTGCTGCTGTTGCTAATATTGCTGTTGCTGCTGCTGTTGCTGCCTCTGTCGCTGCCAATTGCCGTTGAGCACAGAGTCAAGAGTGCAGTCGACGTCAACAGCGACGCCGTTGTCGTTGTCGTTGCCGATGTGCGCTGCAAGCAGCGAAAATACAAAGCACAAAACATGCAGCAAAATAAATATTGAAGAAATTATGTATTGATGATGATCAGAACAGTGCGTGCTAGTTGAGTGGAAACACTTGCAGCATATTTTCAGTGGGCAAATTTTTAAATGTGGGATATTACCTATATACGCTAAAGTACTTTCCCATATTTTATTGATTTTATCTATATAATTCTTATATATATTCCTATATTTATTATGATAATTTTTATTTAACTTAGACATCAATTATCAATAAAATAAAATAAAATAAATTCATATACATATGTATCTTCTAACTATGCATTTTGCAAATATTTTAGACTGCTGCTATACACATGTCCACTGCTGTAAAATATTGCGAAAATAATAATAAAGAAATTGAGCGAAAAACAGAAAGAAATAAAAATATATAAAAGAGCTGCGCGCGATTTGGCTGCATAAAAACATTGAGCAAGGAGGCGAACCGAACTCAGTCGGACTGAGAAATTGCGACGAGCAGAACATTAAAGATTACAACCTGACTAACGACGACAGCAACAACAACAACAACAACAATAACGACAACGAGTCGTTTACCAAGTGCCAAAGTCAAGTTCCCCAATGTGAACAAAACGCTCGAGCAAATCAAACGGAACAGAACGCGCGCAGCTCATAAAATATATAAATAAATAAAAAAAAATATTGAAACAAATATTTTATAAAATATTTGATAGCTACAGACTTAAAGTGCAGAGTGAACAGTATTACAAAAACAAAAGAGAAATTGATTTATTTACAAAAATAAATTAAAGGCAGCAAAATGGCAGCACGTAAAGTGAGTTTTCCCTGTCTCTGTCCGTCCCCACCTTTGCTTTTCACCTGTGTTCACACAATTTCCTAGACAAATATTCCATTTGCATGCTCTTTGGCCAGTGTTGATAAAGTTGTTTGAATTTTGGGTCGGAATGGAGGACATGTGTTTTGCATTACCTTTTCATAAAGCACAAAAACAAATACAAATTTCAAATATTTGTCAATTTATTTATAGAGCACATTTTCTCTCTCAGTGTGTGTGTGTGTGTGTGTGTGTGTATGAATATGCAGTTGTAGTTGCATATAAATTAAAATTAATTAAAATGGAAGTGAAAATTTATTTAGCATTTCGTTAGGTGCGCTGCTGCTGCTGATTCATGCCCCCAAGGCAAACGAGCCAAGTGGCGCCTCACGTTCGTCTTGCTCAAACTGTTTTTGGTGCGACGCGCGTTTGGATTTATTTCCATATTGGGTTCGATTTTGTGCTTTAGCCGATTTTAAGGTCAGTCTGTCACACTTGGGCTACTTTAAATGGTCAAGCTGTGGCTCCCTTGGGAGCACGTCGTGAAGGACATAGTTGGAAAGTCAATCGTAATGAGCTTATGGCATATAGTATAAACACTATAACACACCTTAAAGATTAATCAGATTTCTAATTACGATTCGATTTTGACTAATGCCAGAGAAGTTAACAAGCCTTTGGCTAGTTATTGATAATTTAAAAGGGATGGTTGGGATGTCTCTTATACTAATTTTCAAAATAACAAAATGAAATGAATTTCCCTTCAGTTTCAATCAGACAGCATTATAAATTTTGATGTTGCTCACATTGATTGCAGCTAAATGGAACAAAACTTAATTTATACAGTTTCAATCAAATCAATTTCTACTCAATCGAACAGCACTCCACTCTAGGTTGCTTTTGCTTTATTTAATCAAGCCCAGAATTTGGCGAGAATATAAAGCAGATCAGCTGTTCAATCAATCAGCATTCGAAAATCGACTTAATTTATGTTTGCTTTCTTCTTCTTGTTGTTTTTTGTTGTCTAATTTGGCTATTATGTAGAATTCCTTACCATATAGAGAAGGTCGTTTAGGCATCATTTGTTTCGCTCATTCAAATGTCTCGCTCGACATCACCCCCACCACCCCCTGGACGCAGTCACCTAAAAAATAAAAGTGTTCGCCAAATGCGATCCGCAAAAAAATGCCAAATATTTGACTACACTTATTTATTCACCTTTCGGGTGTGTGTGCATGCGTGCAATATTTGAAGCTGAGTGCATGAATCATATTAAGCAGACGGGATATTTTTTATACATGTATAAAAATCGTGCTTTCTTGAAGAAACAAAATTGAATATAACGTAATAAAAACCGCATAATAACTGTTAGAATTTAGTTTCTTATAAATATATATTCAATATACAAATATATTTGTTATACATTTATAAAGGACTGACTCCTCTATTTATTTATTAAATATTGAATTTCAATACTTAATTATCTTTGAATATAAAAGAAATTTTGCTTGAAAACTAGTTCGTTAAAAGTAGTAACTATTGAAGTGCATACTTTTCGGCGAAGCTTTGAAATCCATACATACATACATATGTGTGTGTGTCCAGTCAGACTTTAAGCAAGTCATGTGACTCAAGACAACAAAGCGCTAAGCTTTGTGAACCAACATTTTGTGCATGGTGCCATAGAATGAGCGAGAGAGAGCAGAACAAACAAATTCTTAGTACTTTGCAAGAGAACACGAAGGAAACAGACAGAGGCAGCACGAGAGCGTGAGAGAGCTGAGAAAGACCGGTAAACCAAACAACAACAATAACAAACCGGTCAGCACAATGTAGATCAGAGCTGGGGACAAGTTTTTTCGGAAGGGATGTTAGTTGATCGAATATATATTTTATATATTTTAAATATGTAAATACTTTTTGGGATATAGAAAGATACATACTTATTTAAATATTTATTTGTTTGCACACATATATTGAACACGAATACTAACTTTTTGTGCAGAGTGTAAAAGAGCCCAGCCGAAATACTGTAAGCAAAGAGCGCAAGCAAAACGAATTTTGTCTGCGCGCCATCAGAGAGAGAGAGAGAGAGAGAGTCAAACCAGACAGACGACGAAGAGCGCAAAAGCGTGCGTGCGTACGCGCCAGAGAGTGGGAGAGAGTGAGAGAGACCGATAAACAATAAAGTAGAAACGCAGAGTGTGATAAAATAGCGCAGCGGCCCGATCAGTGGCAACAGCAGCAACAATTTGAACAACAACAACAAGAACAACAACATCATCAGCAGCAACTCGAACAACAAACCGGCATTCAAAATGTACAGCGATCAGCAGTTCGTGTTAGTTAACGGCGGTACGCTCAACAGTAACGACGCTATTGGCGACGAGCGGCAAAGAAACACAGCGACAATTCACAACAATCGAAGCCAGCAGCAACGCCAACAGCAACAGCAACAGCAACTCCAACACCAGCAACAAAAACAACAACAGCAGAAGATCGGTTCGGTTGCGCCTGTTGCTGATTTAGTGCAAAACGTGAATTATACAAACGTCAACGGTCAAACGCAGACGCAGGCGACAATATTTCTAAATCACAATAATTATAGAAAGAACCCGCCAAATTTGCAGAACAACGTCGCTGCAGTCGCCGCGTGTGCTTACAACAATTGCAACAACAACACCAACAACAGTACCAACAACAACAACAACAGTTTTAGCAATTTAAGTTTTTACGCCCAGCAGCCAACGAGCAACTACAACAACAATAACGAGCTCTTTCAAGCCGAGCAGGTGTGTGTTACCTTCAGCGTCTCGCCCTTTAATTTAGTTTTGCTTTCAACGAATTCCACAAGTTCTTGTATTTTGTGGGCGCAAAGAGCTTTCTTTTCCTTCTTCATTTGTTGTGTTTTAATTGCAAAACATTTCGCAATTAATGAAAATGTTAATGAACTTCACACGCTGCGCACCGAGCACGGCGAATTGGCCGCTTGTCGCCGCCGCCGCCACCACCGTCGCCGTCTCAGTCGCTCCAATTCTTTTTCTAGCCCTTTTTCGCCAGACAGGCGACTCTGGCTACCTACTCTATTTTGGTTGGTCTTGCCGGCACACGCACACATATACACGCACACGCATAAACACTCACGCAGTCAGTCAAAGTTTTGTGAATTTCCTATGCCCCTTTTATGTCTTGCATTCTTCTTCTGGTTTTCCTTTTGTGCGTTCTTCGTTAAGTTTATGATAGTTTTTACGGGTAATAACATTCCCATACGTTCTGGTGACTTTTCCAGTTGATATAACTGCTGTTTGGCCAACCACAGTTTATTGTAGAGTATACAAGTTTCGTTGCGAGTTTGTCGATCATGTTGTATTATGGGCCACTGGCCTGAAGAAGCGTTTGCGTGGAAAGTTGAACGAATGTCCACTCAACTTATATTGAGTGTGTGATTGTGTGTGTGGTCTGGCTGCCCGATTCGCTCTGTGCGCGTGTGTGTATATCCGTGTGTGTGAGCGTATAACTGGAACAAGTCGGCGTCGTTATGTCCATTGCCACACCTAGAGATCGCATTGAATGCGATCTGCCACGCTTCAGCGTTGACATTTTCATGCAACTTGGTTTGAATGGCTTAACAAAAAGTTCTTTAGTTTTGCCACGAATAAAACTTGAAATATTTTTGATTATAGTTTCTATAATCCTTATTTTTCGCATAAGAAGTTCTTATTTTACTCTACTGGATAAAGTTTTTTCTAAAAAAAAAGAGTATTTGCTGTGCGGTACTTCGCATGCTGTGCGTGCTTTAAGTGGTTTTTGCAGTTAAAAAAGAAATCGCCCTCCACCCACCTAAACAATTATAGCACTGTCCTATACATATCCATTTCCATATCCTGCCTAACTTGTTGCTCTCTGCCCAAACGCACAAAACTTACAGCCGAACGAATATTACCAACAGCAGCAGTCGGAACAGTACGAGGAGAACTTCGACGAAGATATGGAGGCCGAACGTGATCTAGCCGAGGATGCCCAATGGAAGAAAATCCAACAGAACACCTTCACACGCTGGGCTAATGAGCATCTGAAAACGATCGATCGTTCGATAAACAATCTGGAAACGGATCTGTCCGATGGTCTCCGTCTGATTGCACTCATCGAGGTGCTGTCCCAGAAGCGTTTGCCCAAGCACAACAAACGTCCAACATTCCGTAGCCAGAAATTGGAGAACGTATCGGTTGCCCTGAAATTCCTACAGGATGAGGGCATCAAAATTGTTAACATTGGTGAGTAGCCTCTATCGATATTTGATTAATTTTCATATGTTGATTTCATGAAATTTCTGGGAATACGGGATTAAATTGGGTTGGGTTGCCAGCGGAACATAGATAGACCCTTTGTTCCCACATATGTATGTATGTATGTATCTATGTATGTAGACAGAGTCACGTTTTGCTGCGGCCATGAGTCAACTCCAATTTGTGTTTAACCTTAGCTGCTCTGTTGGCAAGTCTAAAATATTTCCATACAAATTGCATAATAGGCGATTATTTTATTATCAACGTAGAGTCGAATGCACAGCATAGAGGCATACAAAAGAAAAAGAGGAAAAAGGTAGATAGCGAAAGACCCAAAGAAATATCTATAGAAATTGTCTTGCTGGCAAATATATAAATATATAAAAAAAGAAAGAGAGTCTCCATTTAACTAACGACCTGCAATGCATTCCAAAACAATTTGTTATTTTATGCATACCCTATACTTTGGAGCAGAGAAAGGGAAGTATACTGAGTCCTAACTGATCTCTTATATTTTTCAAGTATACATATATGTAATATATAAACAATAAGTTCTTCTATAAATTTGTTTTTAATCTTATAAGAAATATTTTATGAACCTACGAATGAATTCTTGGAATTAGCTTTCAGCCTCTTCAATTACATAAATATAGGCCAAGTAAATTCGTTATATATAGAAATACCTTAAACATAAAGTGAAGTTTGGGGTTTTGGGTCATGAGTACAGGGTATCTACTGAACCAACAACATGTTTGCTTCACAAGTTATTTACACATTGCGGTTGCTTTTTTTCTCTTCAATGCGACAAGACTACAAAACAAATGATGTCATATACACTCGTATATACTCGTACTGTTAGTGGGCCAGCATTTTTTATTCAAAGCGCCCAGCCTCAATGCGATTTTTACTTTCATTTGTTAATTTTAATGCATAATTTAAGATTCAGTACGACAAATGTACACGTTACGCTGCGACAGCTTTGAATAGTACTCACATAACACTCATGACTCTATAGGTATGATGTCAGTGAATTTACTCATATAAACATATGTACATACATACATATATGAATATCATCTATTCAGAGTATTTCGATTTGATGGCCAAAACTTCAACGAGGCGTGTAGGTCTCCCAGCTTAGTTAAATTACATTATTGAGGGTCTACTACTGTGGGTGATAGATATTGGCTTTTCAAGATCAGGCCCAGCTAGATCACGAGCTTCGACAGCTAACGGTAACTTAAAAAAGTGTTTAATGCGTGCTAATTTTCATTGATTAAAACTATGAGCATGTGATAGTCATACCTCTAGACTTAATGAGTCACTCTCCAAGCTGGGCTCAACGTGCACTCGGTCATACAATCAGTCTATACATACATATATACATTTTCTAGTACATGTTTAATACTGTTTCTAATTAGAATTCAGTTTTTTATGACCGAATTGATAAGCCGCCTGTTTTTTTGTTTGTTTGTTTAATTTCCAATCTGAATCTGAACGAGTTGCTTGAGTTGTAATTCCATTAGTCGTTGATAAGACTGTCGAAATGTACAGTGGATGCCAGCTATATATCAATACATTTACACCTACATATATGTATGTATAAATGTCTCTGCATGTGTGGGTACATAAAAACCCGTTTGTCAATAATTGACAGCTACGTAAATATTGTTTAACATTTATGTGTTTTTAACCGACTTTTTATGAGCGATACCCTTTGGAAATGAGTGAAGAAAAGCATGATATGTAAGGTATATAGATGTGAAAGCTTATTTTAAATCGATATGTGTATACACTACAAAATTCAAGTTTTAGTATACTATATAAATTTGTAAGTATCGATCTTTACTATGGCGTCATCATTTTTTGGTGTATTTAGGGTATATTCAAACTAAGAAGTTACTTACTCGTTACAAGAATTTCAAGAATGCCATACGGATTCTTTGCAAAAAAGTCATTTTTTTCATAGGGGATCCATCTATCTTCATGCCTTGCAATCATTTTAAAGTAATTTTCACTTTTAATCGGTCAGTAATCTTTCATTTTTGTATCGCTAATCAGTCTGCTTGAACTTTTCCTTTTTTTAGTATTATTGTATTTTTGATAATGGCGGCATATCTTTTGCAATGATTAAAATTTGCCAAAATAGCTTTTGACAACTGTCAAACAGAAAAAATTCAATGAAAGTCATGATTCATATTAAAAATTTGTTGCCAATTTTAAAAAGATGCTTAAATGATTCACATGACAACATTAATGATTCATTTTACGAATAACTTGCTTGAAACATCAGTTTAGAATGTCAGTTATTACGTACCTCTTGACATGGATGTGTCATTAAATGTTTATAGCCAGAAACTAATATAAATTTATTTATATTATCTTCTACAAATGAGAGAACAGAAGCTTTGTTCGATCTAGGCATGTGCACCTGTCTGTCTGGGTATCCCTTACTTCGTGGCAAGATATTTAATGGCCAATCCAGAAACCTATAACAGCTAAAAGCTTGAAATTCCTCACATACCACACGCAGTAAATTATTTATCGGTACGTCTATCCTCATTTATTGTATTTTCAAACTATTGAGTGATCGACACTTAAAATTATTGGTTAGTTATTTCTATGAAATCGATTAAAACGTTTATCGAACTTTCATTAATTGAGCATAACACTAAAGCTTTTAGAGCTCAACTCATTAAATATGGTATCTAGATTCTCATAAAGTATTCACAGATCATTACATAATTACTCCCAAGTATATATAGAAAACAACTAGATTTTTTAGTCGAGCACAACCGATTACAACACTCATCTTGATTATTTTACCAGCTAAATGAAGAGCTCAACTACCTATAGCATATATGGAACTATTTACTGTTAATTAATTTCACTTTATCCAAGACGCACCTCTTCCTGTGCACCAAAACTATAATGAAAGAAAGAAAGCGAAATGAGCCTGAGAATTGTGGAGCTGTGCAACTGTTCGACGTTCAACAATTTAAACTGGTTTCACGAATTCCTCACAATTCATTTCTGAGTTTTTTCTTTCTTTTTTTTGAGCTCTTTTGTGCTGTCAATTGAATTAGCGCAAAGTCTTCTGGAGCTTTTATACATACATATACCCAGCCCAACCACAAATTGTAGAATTATCTCCAAATGTTTGCGCTAAAAATCTAACCGAAAATAATACAGAAAAAAAAAAAAAAGAATTTAATGATAAAAACACTCAAGCGCAATAAAATTTAAAAAGAGAAAAAAATGCAAAAATAACATTATAAAATAAATAAAAAAGAGATACTAAGCAAAGAGAAACAAGCCTAATAAGCGTGTATATGTATCCACATATCTTTATATATATATAAAAAAGTCGCTCAGTTTACTCAATGACATCATCTGCGGCTCTTTTTGCTGACTTTTTCGGCGAACTCTGAGAAGTTTGTGCGATTAATACGCTGTTCGCAAGTGTGGAAATGGGGTATATCGATGTTTCTATATTGAAATGTGGTTAGTATATATAACCTTATAACCTTAGTTGCAGTTTTAGAGACAGCATGATCAGCTCTTGCTTAGTACAAAGATAATTGAGCGAATAGATTTTAGACTCTTTACTCTATATATTGATCATATCGTAAGCTGCCATTGGACTTGTTGATATGTAGAGTATTCCGCAGATTGTGATGGCTTTATGCAAATTTCGCGGTTCTGCTTCGCGGCTTTTCTCACTGGGTAATTACAATTTAGATTATATTTAGTTGTCTGTAGTCTCGTCTTATAAAGTATCTTGGCTCTTGAGTTTTCAAACCCTTGGCTAATCAGAAAACTGTTTTCAAGATCAGTGATTCGGAATGTTGGCTATTCATAATCTTTCTCTTCTTAAGAGTAAGAAAAAAACAAAAGTAATAAATTATTTAAATCTTCTGAACGAGTATTATGAAGTCGATAGTGCCCAACTGCAGCAATCTTCCTTCTTGACTTCACAGCTCTTTGAGCAAGCCTTCACAGAGATGTGAAGCGTTTCATAGACAATACGATATAGCATAAAGCAGATGTCTAGTTCAATTTGTCACAGCCAATTGATTGTTATTGATGACGCCATAGTTAGCAGCCCTTAATAGGGACAGACCCAGACCCAGAGAGAGAGAGAGAGAGAGAGAGAGAGAGCGACAGAGGCAGAGCTAGCGAGTGTCAAATAGTAGGCAATTTTAATTCACCAAACCATATAAATATTCTGATACGCAATCATAATTGAGGCTCATGTTCCATTTGACCCAATTCTTAACTGCTTGTTAATAATCTTTTCAAATATTTATTCTTGAGACTTTGTACACAGTTTATTAACGGAAATCATAAAATGGCAACAAATTTTAATAAAGACCTCAACTTGAAGAGGACTTCCCAAATTATTATTAGTTTCCAAATTCTTTTGGTTTTCTTTTTACTTATGCTGGAATATGTGTTCATTTATCTCTGTTGCTTATCATTTGTTGTCATTGATATATTTGCTAAAAAATATTTAAACTGTCTTTAATTTAGAGATTCTACGTCTAATTTGTGGTTGGTTTGTTTTTTCTGGGAATTTCCTATGTTTGCGATAGTGAATATAAGATTTTGGTGAATTTGGTTTATCGTGTTTGCAAAAAGTTGATGGAAGGTTTTGCATGATATTTTTTATGGTTTTAGTGAGTGTGGTAGAACTGTGGAACTAAATACATAATTTATTTTAAAGATATATCTTGGCTTCATATAGTTTCAGTGTAAATTATAAGTTAGCAACAAATTTTGTATATCACTATTATTTTATATCTCTTATTTAGTGTTTCAGAAATATGCTTGCTGTTTTAGTGTCGTTTAACAATTCCATTCAAATTTTACAAAAGAGGTTGTTTGAAGTTCTTTAGAAATCTCAAAAAGTTTGAAAAAGTTTGAATGGAATCAATGTTTTAGGAAGATATTCAAAATGAAATGGGGCAAACTATTTGTTAGGTAAA